TGTATTCACTACTAAGCCTCCTCTTGGCATCAAGTGTGCTTGATGTTGTCAGCCTGAAGGCTTGAAGGATGTCCAGGTATTTGTAGTGATCTTCATCCAGACTCTTGTTATTTCCATTGGGCATCTTGATTCCTTCAGTTTTCACAATTTTTCCCCTGTTGATGGTCAGGGTGGCACATTTGTCCAGTCCAAACTCCATTGTGATATCTTGGTGTATATTTGGACAGTGTTGAGTAGCGATTCCATTTCAAATGGTGTTTTTCCATATAGTTTCAGATCGTCCATGCAAAGGAGATGGGATAACCTAGCAGATATTTTTGATGTTTGATAGCCATGGCCTGACTTATTCAGTATTGCTGACAGAGGAATCATTGCAATGACAAACAGTAGTGGTGATAGTGAGTCTCCTTGAAATATTCCTCTCTTGATGATAACCTCTACCAATCTATCACCACTGACCACTTTCTGTGTCTTCCATTGTGCCATTGATCTTTGCACAAAGCTTTTGATGTTTCTACTGACTCCTGTTATTTCTAGGCACTTGATTATCCAGTCATCTGGCAGGGAGCCAAATGCCTTCTTGTAATCAATCCAAGCTACATTCACGTTAGTTTTCCTTCTCTTACAGTTTTCCAAAGTCATCTTGTCAATTAGGAGCTGATCTTTTGTCCCTCTGCTGTTTGGGTGGTTTCGTTTCTGCTCAGATGGAAAGAGCTTGTTTTCAATTAGATGCTGTTGGACTGCATCAGCTACCACACTAGTTAGCAATTTGAAAGTTGTTGGCAAGCAGGTAATTGGCCTGTAGTTGCCTGGTGCTGCCTTTTTTGCTGGATCTTTCATTACCAGGTAGGTTTTGCTGTATGTTAACCAATCTTCAATTTCATTTCCTTGCAATATGTTGTTAAACTGCTTGGCAGTGAGTGAGTGCAGAGCTGTCAGCTGTTTCAACAAAAAACCATGCAGTTCATCTTCACCTGGTACTGACTGATTCTTGATCTTCCTTGCCCTTTTCTCCACCATTTCTGCTGTTATTACAAGTTCTTTCATTTCAGCTTCTTTTATATTCTTATCTACCTCCTTTATCCAAGCTGCGTTCTTGTTGAATTTCTTTGGGTTGTCCCATATCTGCACCCAGAACTGCACTGTTTCTTCTTTGTCAGGTGTTGATTGGTTCATTGCAGTCTCTCTGTTGATGGATTGATAGAAACGTTTCTGCTTCAACTGACGTTGGAGATGATGATGATGATCATTATCCTGCCTTTTATATATTTTGATTAGCTCAAGGTGGCAAACGTGCCTAATACTCCTACTTCCTATTTTGCCCTCAACAACAACCCTGTGAGGTGGGTTTGGCTGAGAGTGAGTGACTGGCCCAGAATCACCCAGCCAGCTTTTGTGCCTAAGGGAGTTCTAGAACTCATAGTCTCCTGGTTTCTAGGCCAGCACCTTAACCACTATATGAAACTGGCCCTCTTTATTCCTATTCGTTGCTTTCTTTAGCTTGTTATCAATCCATAAAAGGACATGAACTCTTCTCCTATGATTTCTATGTTTATTCAAGAGCAGTTGATGGGTGGAGGGTGAGAGATTTTATCAAAGGCTTTTAAAAAATATAAACAGTTCATATACACTCCACCACAGTTCCTGTCAATTCACACATAACTTTCTGCAGTGCTGTTGTTTTGCTGAAAAATGCAGGGTGGCATGCTGAGGTTTAATTATTCCCACCTTGTGATCCTGATGAAGATTCATTTATCTTTCATTTAATTTTCATAGCTTTGAAAGTGTTATATAGGGAGGCTTAACTGTGTTGAAAATTGAAATGTCTAATACTGACGTATTACTTTCAGGGAGACCACAAGAGGGCAGTCTGCTGACTGGCTGAAGCATTTAAATTAGCTTTTTACACATTAATGCAAATACTCTAAAATAATATATGTGTGTGATAATCATGGTATTTTAATCTAGGCCTGAAACAGGCTTTTTGTAATTCAAATCCTAGTATGAAAATCCCGGTCTGTGCTTAATCATAAAATGTGATGGTATTTCACATTCCCTTTACATCTCTTTAACACAATAATAGTACTATGCACCTAAGCATTTACTTTATCTTCATAATGGACTGGCTTTCTGGAAATATAAGTCTTGCAAGTGTTTTTATACATGATTAAAATGGCTTCCATGATGCCATGTGGAAATGTTCAGGTCTTACAATGCAGTTATTCACCTTACCATAGTATTTTGCCATTATGAATTGATTGTTTACTCTGTAAGAACTGGCCTGATAAGTGTTCATGCCTAATTGATCTTAGCTGATCTCTGAAAGCTAGCCAGGTTCAGATCTGTTAATTCTTAGGTAGAACTTTAGGAAATATCAGGGCAACAGTCTTAAAGTTGGAAAAAAAAATCCTAAAAGGTAGCAGTGGCAAACCACTTCCATATTTTTGCCAAGAAAATTGTTTGGATGTGTTTATGAAGTCACTAGGAGTTAATTTTATCAGATCAGTGTGTGGTAGTAAAACTCTTTCTAACTCCCTTATTGAAGTTAAAATTTGGGGTGAAACTTTATTTTTAACTATGTTCAACATGACTGCATCTCTGTATAGATAACTTACTTTAAAACGACCGTATTTTTCCATCAATAAGATGCCCCCATGTACAAGACGACCCCCACTTTTCCAACCCAAAATTAA